CAATGACTTGTGGCAAATTTCTGCAAGATAGTATAATCACTCTTCTTACTGAAGCATCAGTGCTGACGTATCCTCGTCAATACTGTCCATTCATACTAGATACTGATGTCAGTGACAGTTTAATTGAAGGGTTTTGTCATTAGTGAGGGACAGTGTGGAGAATATGAGCCCTAAACTGCTTATTTCTGAACACAAATATTATGCATTGAAGAAGGAACTGCTTATAATTGTAGTAATTGTTTAATATTATCACTAATACCTTTACATTTAGAACTTCACAAGAAGAATGGACGAAATGTTACTAAAAGACCTTCAAAAATCTAGAAGGTATGAGTGCAAATTAGTTAGTGATGCTACTTTGTTGTTCAATATCATCCAGGTCAGTAACACAGAAACATAGTTAATGATATTACTTTGTTGTACAATATCATCCAGGTCAGTAACACAGAAACACAGTTAATGATATTACTTTGTTGTACAATATCATCCAGGTCAGTAACACAGAAACACAGTTAATGATATTACTTTGTTGTACAATATCATCCAGGTCAGTAGCACAGAAACACAGTTAATGATATTAATTTGTTGTACAATATCATCCAGGTCAGTAGCAGAGAGACACTGATAATGATATTAATGTGTTGTACAATATCATCCAGGTCAGTAGCAGAGAGACACTGACAGTGATATTAATTTGTTGTAAAATATCATCCAGGTCAGTAGCAGAGAGACTCCGATAATGATATTAATTTGTTGTACAATATCATTCAGGCAGTAGCAGAGAGAGACACTGATAATGATATTAATTTGTTGTACAATATCACCCAGAGCAGTAGCAGAGAGACACTGATAATTATATTACTTTGTTGTACAATATCATCCAGGTCAGTAACACAGAAACACAGTTAATGACATTACTTTGTTGTACAATATTATCCAGGTCAGTAGCAGAGAGAGACTCCGATAATGATATTAATTTGTTGTACAATATCATCCAGGCAGTAGCAGAGAGACACTGACAGTGATATTAATTTGTTGTACAATATCATTCAAGCAGTACCAGAGAGACAAATTAATATCATTATCAGAGTCTCTCTGCTACTGACCTGGATGATATTGTAGAACAAATTAATATCACTGTCAGTGTTGTACAATATCATCCAGGTCAGTAGCAGAGAAACACTAATAATTATATTAATTTGTGGGTACAATATCATCCAGGTCAGTAGCAGAGAGACACTGATAATGATATTAATTTGTTGTACAATATCATCCAGGTCAGTAGCAAAGAGACACTGATAATGATATTAATTTGTCATACAATGTCACCTAGCCAGCAGCACAGAGACATTAATATGATATCTTACCAAACACTGAGAGCATGTCTATTTGTTGCACGTTCAGTTTCTGGACATCATGCTGTGGTCGAAGCAGCAGCAGTGACAAGAAACAATATGACTGTCACTTACTCATGCCACATTCTAATAAAACACAAGACCACTGTTTACTGACGTAATTCTGTGAAACATAAGTGACTTACTGACACCATCTTATAAACACAAATTCAATGGGTTTAGACCTCATTCTGTAAAACGTAAATGGCTTATTGACAACATCTTCTGAAACACATGTCCAATTTGTATTGACGTAGATCTGTAAAACGTAAATGACTTTCTGACACCATCTTTTAAAACACAAGACCAATGGGCATGTCTGTTTGAAGATGGTGTCAGTAAGTCACTTATGTTTTACACAATTACGTCAAAAAATTGAACTTGTGTTTTAGAACATGGCATATTTAGTGACGTAATTCTGTAATACGTCACTTACTGATACTACCTTCTAAAAAACAAATCCGATGTAACTCTGTAAAACATCAACAATGACTTTTTTACATGAATTCTAAAATCAAAAGGCCACAGAAAGCTGTCGTGTGTTGATGTCATTTTATAAAATATAAAACCATCTCTTATAACATACTGATGTAATTCTGTAAGACTTGAAACACACATGACTGAAAATTCTCTGGTAAAACACAGTCCTAGTACTTCCAAACACCATTTCGAGTACTAAAGCACCAAAATCTGTACTCGCCTGGTTTTGAACACAGGATTAAAGTAATCCATCATCAATAATATATAAGAACGTGATTTCAAGATCATTTTACCAAGGTGTATCTAGTGTTTACCACTTCTCGTGTTTTTCTACATGATACTTCCAGAAACGTCTGCAGGTAACAGGTTTGAAGGTCTACACATAGAGGAGATTTAAAGATAATGTACTACATGAGATAAAGTGAAGTTTTAACCTTGACTTAACCTTGACCTTTAACATCAAGGTAATTTCATGTTCCACATCGCTGAAAGTTTTTTTTTTTTTCGGAGAACTAAACTTCATTAAAGGTAACTTTCTGAAAGTTGTTTGAAAAATTGTCATTCTTTTAACATTCAGTGGTGACAAAAATAAGGCTAAGCGTGGCTTTATGTTTAGCATGTCACACTGTAGAGCTGGGGTTCCGTATAAAAAAAAAAAAAAAAAAAAAAAAAA